ACCTTCTGTGTGCGAAAAGCAACAGGAGGGTGGCGGATAGTGCACGCGTTTAACAAATTGAACGCTGCAACGGTACCGGCTCAGACGCCGATACCGAGGAAGGACGTAATCATTGATGGTATGTCAAAGAGTACCATCTTTTCGTCCATGGATTTGATGGATGGCTTCTATCAAATCCTAATGCGGAACGGGATATACCCTATACCGCAGTTAGCACGCCTAGCGGCATGCTCTGGGAATGGCTAGTAATGCCACAAGGGCTCAGTAATGCCCCTGCCACGTTCAACAGGTGTGTATCACATCTGTTGAGGCCAGTACGAGAATTCGCGCCGAGTTATTTCGATGACGTATTCATCCATAGTCGAGCTATGGATGGAAAGTCGGACGTTGAGGTTCACAAGTACCACGTCCGACAAGTTCTTACAATCATGCGAAAGCATCAATTGTATGCAAACCTCAAGAAGTGTATATTTGCAGCAAGCGAAATACCACTTCTTGGGTGCATCGTTGGTAAGAACGGTGTACGTCCTGATCCCGAAAAGATCAAGGCGATCACCGACTGGCCCGTGCCGGTCGATGTCAAAGGTCTTCGAAAATTCCTTGGGCTAGCGGCGTATTTGCATAAGTATTCACGCAATTACGCCGAGATGACTGTACACCTCTCTCGTTTGTTGAAAAAGAACGAGAGGTGGTTATGGAACGCTGAATGTCAACGCTCCTTTGAGGGTATCAAGCAGAGCTTGATACAATCCCCAGTCCTAGCAATAGCCGATCAGGACAGGCCATTTCATGTGGTCTGTGATGCCAGCGATTTCGCAATCGGCTGTGCATTAATGCAGTACGACCTTGAAGGCGTTGAACGCGTCGTCTGCTATCAGTCGCGTCAGCTGCAACCAGCTGAGCGGAACTATCCAGTGCATGACAAGGAACTCCTTGCCATGAAGTATGCACTAGCGAAGTTCAGAGTCTATCTATTAGGAGATAGACCCTTCGTTGTTTACACTGACCATGCGTCCTTACGCACGGCAGTGAACAGCCCGCACCTTTCACAACGAATGGCGCGGTGGTTGTCATTCTTTGCAGAATACAACTTTACGGTCGAGTACAAACCAGGACGACTTAATGTCGTCGCTGATGCACTCTCACGTCGTCCCGACTTTGAAACAGTCGCGAAACCCAACAGTGAGACAGTCACTGTTGCGGTTATGACGTCCTCAGTTCCATCTACAACGTTGTACGATGATGTGAGGCGGGCATACGCCCAAGATGGTGAGATAGTGAAGTTGTTGTCACATCTCTCCCAACCATCTCGAGAATCGTTGAAACGATTGTCGTCTGCGTATCGATCTGCATCAGATCGATACACTACTCGTAACGGTTTACTGTACTATACAGCCGTTTCTGGTGACACACCACGTGTTGTCATTCCAGATGATACTGATCTGCGTTTGCGGATCATGTTCGAGTATCACGATGCTCCTATAGGAGGACATCGTGGCCGAGAGAAAACATATCTCACGGTAAGTCGAGACTTTTACTGGCCCCGCCAGTATCAGTTTGTGCGAAAGTATGTTCGCGCATGCGAAGTCTGCCAACGAGTGAAGTCAAGTCCTTCACTGCGTGCACCTTTACAGCCTCTACCGGTTCCGGCTGAGTGCTGGGAATCTATCTCAATGGATTTCGTCTTCGGGTTACCCAAAGACGCACGCGGGAATACGGGTATTCTCGTATTTGTTGACAGATTCAGCAAAATGGTACACCTTGTGGCTGTACCAGAGACAATCACGGCAAGTGGCTGTGCTTGTGTCTTTATTGACACCATCTTCCGACTTCATGGGTTGCCCCGTGAACTCGTATCAGACAGAGATCCACGATTCACTGCTGATTTCTGGCGTTCCGTGTTCAAATCACTCGGAACGCGCTTGAAGATGTCAACATCTGATCATCCAGAGTCGGATGGTCAGACGGAACGTGCCAATCGTGTCCTTGAAGAGATACTTCGAGGATACGTACACTCCTTTAAGAGTTGGAGTGAGTTTTTGCCAATGGTAGAGTTTGCCATCAACAACTCGGTGCATGCGTCCACGACACATACACCGTTTTACGTGAATGGCTTGCGCCATCCGCGTATACCCACCTTACTAGAGTGTAACTCTGGTTTAAGGGGGGAGGGACTCGCGCGAGCAAAAACCGATTTGGTTCACGCTCATCACGCTCTGACGAAGAAGTCATTGCGTTTGATGCCGATATCGATAACATCGATATCGAAGAAGATGATGCCAGTGAGAGTGCGGAAGCCCTCACTGAAGACAATGATCCCAGTGAGAGTGCGGAAGCCCTCACTGAAGAAAAGGTTGTTGTTGCTGCAGTGCGCTCACAGCACACTGAAGCTAACGAGTCATCAGATGAGTTCATACTGGCTCGTGAAACGGTAGTCCGTTTTGTGCAAGACTCCATCGCCGAAGCGGTGGATAAGCAAAAGCAAAACGCTGACAAGAATGGAAGGGCAAACACTCTTTTATTTAATAAAAGTGACTTAGTCCTACTGTCTACGGTTAATCTACCAAAACATGTAGTGACTAACTTGGGTAGCAGTAAACTACTACCCAAGTACATTGGCCCATTTCGTGTATTGCACCGCCTAGGCAATGCATACACGATCGAGTTACCACGTAAGATGCGAACGCATCCCACGTTTTACGTTGGTCGGCTTAAGCCGTACCATCAGTACGCTGCTTCTTCCGATGAAGAACGCCCTTGCGCTCAAGCATCTCGCAGAGAGCCTTGTGCTCCCGATGGTGGGCATCAACAAGGGTCTGAAGAGCAGTTATCTCAGCCCGAGACCGATCAACAATCCCACGAGCTACCCTTAGCTCGTCACGAAGAGATGTCAGAGATCTCTCGTTCTCAAGCTGAGCAAAGGCAAACTCAGCTCGATGCTTCGAGGCAGTGTCCACCATCTGGAGACGCCTATTCCGCTCATGCTCGAGATCGTCGCGTAACCCTTGCGTTACGCGATCAAAGAAGCTCTCGGGAACACACCGATCCACATGATCGTGTGGAGAGCGTCTTTCCTCCTCCTCCACCTCCATGAGAGGACTCTCGCGGTGGCCAGCGCTATCTAGTTGAGCAGCTGTTGAACCACCGCGACGTGAACGGACGTCGGACGAGTTACCTCGTCCGGTGGCGCGGCTATCCCCCGTCCTGGGATTCTTGGGAGCCCCGCTCCCAATTGATGGTTGACGTACTGGGTCTGGTCGAGCAGTACGACGCGACACATCCTGTGCCGCAGAAGGACCGCCGGAGAAAGTCTTCCCGGCACGGTCGTAAAGGGATTTCAGGTTGTCAATCCCTTCGTACATCTCAGTAGAGACACGTACGCGCCACCACGGGCTGGTAAGGAGGTAAGCCTCCTTAGGTGCTCGTGCAGAGTTGTTCACACAACATGGGCACGAGTCTCCCCAAGAGAGGCAGGGTAATCCTTTCTCCCTTGACAGACGATGCAGCTTGTAGCGTGCACCTGTCGGGGTTCGCTTTTCAAACTTATCACGAGCTTTGATAAGTTTGTCGTTCCAAGCGTCACGACCTACATCCTCGAGATTATGGATGTAGGCGTTCCACGCCTGAAGTAGTGAGGGACCATCACGTTTGTGATTCCCACTGTACCATCGATGTCTGAAGAAAGCATCGATGAAGAACTCATGTTCAGCGCGATAGTCTTTCGCGCTGGGGTCAAGGTGATGAATCCTCGACGAATCGAACAATCGTGTTCGATAACGATCACTCGTCGTCGCCGACAAGTGATCCATGACAGATTTAGGAGGCATCCATGCCTTCTTTTCTGGAGCGAGACGCAACACATTGCGGTCCCGCTCTTCCTGCGACGTGCCGACAGAAGTACTGGCACCTCGCTGCGAAGTGGTGTCCATTGGAGAACCGACACCACTATTAGCGCCCGAGTCTCGCGACCTCGAGCGCCTTCGCTTCGGCGATGGTTCATCTGACTCATCAGATGAACCAAAGATGCTGCGACGCAAAGCATCGTCCATGCCACGCTTGGCAGGCGGCTTGGATTCAATTGCCGTCGATACGGATCCGTCATCCGTATCAGGAGAGTACGAGACACCGAGCTCGTACTCTGTGAAGACACGAGTGTCTTCATGACCAGCGCCTGCATCACCAGGTGATACAGGCTGAGTCGATTCAGCAACCGATGGGACATCAGTTGCTGTAGTTTCTGCTTCGGCGTCCGCACAGAGACGTGCAGACGCGCTCTCGGCGGCCTTGCTCGCGCATCGCATGGGCTTGTTTACCATGCGATGAGATGTTGGAAAGTGGACGCGGACCAACAAGTGCAAACCCCGTCCCAAATGATTTGGGACGAGTATCCATTTAGTCAATCAGTCACTAAAGTGACTGATGGTTAAGGGGGTGATGTAACGGGGTGAATCGTTACATAACAATTTATAAGAAATTGTTAATAGAATATAACTATAAGAGTTATATTCTCAGAATATTGTCATAAGGACAATGTTCTGTAGCACTTCCAAGTAGTTCCTAATTGGTTGATATAGGCCATTATATCAACCAACGAAGACGCGCCACGACAGACGCACGCAATGAGTGGTGAGCAGATAACTGATTTACACATTTGTATTTAGACATAGTTAGATGAAGATAAATAGTGATTTATTGCAGACATTAACTATTATAAATACATATCTACTTTTTACTCTAACCGAGTACTCGCTTCTTCTTACCGTCTTCCTCTGCACGTACGAGTGTACGTGAAGTTACGAGGCACCGCCTTATTCTGTTATCAGAATAAGTAGCTTGTACTGTCACCAGTACAAGCTTCAGGGTGCCCCGTTACAGTAGTGAACTAAGGACCTTAAATGTATTCACTTCGGCTTTTACATCCAACTACCCCAACAGGTTAACAGCCGCAACTCGGACAGCGGCGTCAAGACCAAGAACGCCTCGCCTCGCACGGATCGCACATGATGAGTACCAAGCGCGCCGAAGTCCTCCTAGGAAGTGGAAATTATTTCCATTGGGAGTTCAATATGAGGATGTCGCTCGCCAGAAAAGGACTGCTGGCGCACGTGGAGGTGGTCAAGGCGGAGAGTGAGATAACGGAAGCTTGGTTAGTAAATGACGCAAAGGCTCTCGGCATCATCGCGCAGGGTGTGGAACTACAACACCAGACAAAGATCCGTTCGTCGACGTGTGCTATTCAAGCGTGGGTAACACTTAGGGTGTTCTACAATCGCACTACACTCCACAATCGGGTCACGATGACACGGCGCCTCCACGAATTCAAGATGGATGCTGGAACGGCCATGGCAAAGCATTTGGACGCTTTCGTCGAGCTCGTTGTCGGTCTTCAGACGCTTGGAGAGCCCGTCGACGAGGCACGGCAGCTAGTAGTGCTGCTGAGCAGCCTTCCAGCCGAATACGAGCTGATATCGTCGATCGTCGAGAACGTCAAGGACATCACGCTCATCGAGGTGAAAGAGAAGCTGTTGAAGGAGTGTGAACGGTTGGAGAAGAAAGACACGACTTCGGAACGAGCATTTAAGGTCAACGCTGGACGTTTCAAGGGCAACAAGAGGAGTGGTCGCAAGTGGAGCGATCAGAAGAAGAACTCTAGTGGTTTCCAAGGCAAGTGTTTCAAGTGCAACAAAGTTGGACACATGAAGCGGGACTGTCAAGAGGGAACAACAGACGGCGATGCGGTATTTGTTGTGAGCACAGAACGTGTAAACGGATGGTTGATCGACAGCGGCGCGACCGCCCACATGACCCCGCACCGTTCCGATCTGTTCGAGTATGAGAACGTGAATGGTGGCATCGAAGTAACAATCGCTGACGGAAAGAAGCTGCAGGTCACTGGACGTGGTACGGTACGGTACGCTTGCTTGGACTGGACGGTAAACGGATTAAGATGGTTGAAGTTCTTCACATACCGGGCCTCGATCGGCGTCTGTTGTCAGTGGGGAAGCTCGCGGATCGTGTACTGAACGTGGAGTTTCAGCGTTCCTCATGTGTTATATGGGGAGCGGCTAGCGCAATTGCGAAGGGTAAGAAGGTCGGCAAGGCTTACATGTTAGACTGTGAACAAGAAGAAGCTCGGTTCGTCCAGTACGCCAGGGCTGACAGCAAGTGGGAGCTTTGGCACGCTCGCCTGGGGCATCCCAACCAGGATGCTCTGGATAAGACAAGGCATGCCACGAACGGTATTCCGGCTGTTGGTCAACCGCCCCAGTCTTTGTGCTGCGGATGCATGAAGGGGAAGCAAACGGTGGCTAAATTTCCGCATTGTTCCAGCTCGAAGACGTCGCGCGTTCTTGAGCTCTTCCACACGGATATGATGGGACCAATGAATAATCCTTCGAAAGGTGGTGCCAAGTATGTCCTGACGTTCGTGGACGACTACTCGCGCTACGTTGTGGCCTATTTCTTGAAAAAGAAGAGCGAGGTGGCCATCAAGCTTAGAGAGTTCATGACTTTCTATGAGAATCAATGGGGAGAGCGCATGAAGTGTTTACGATCGGATAACGGAACGGAGTTTGTCAACCAAGAGATGACGAAGATATGTATGCTGAACGGTATCGTGCACCAACGGACTGTCCCGTATAGCCCTCAGCAGAATGGAGTGGCAGAACGGATGAACCGAACTATCATGGAGAGATCTCGAAGTATGCTATACTACAAGGGCGTTCCAATGGAGTGGTGGGCTGAAGCAGTTAGTACTGCGGTATATCTAATCAACCGTTCCACGAACACGCACAACGCAACCGTAACACCGTTTGAGCTAGGTTTCAAAGTGAAACCTACGCTAGATCACCTACGCGTATTTGGTTCTCGCGGGTACGCTCACATTGACGAAGCGAAGAGGACGAAGCTTGAACCTAAGAGCTTTAGATGTCTGCTGCTCGGATACCCAGAAAACGTCAAGGGTTACCGTGTCTATGACTTGGACGCTTCCAAGGTCAAAGTTTCTCGCTCGGTGAAATTGGACGAGCGTGAGGTAGATGGTATTTACGATACACTACCTGCTCAGATCGAAACAGTTATTCATGTTAGCACAGACGCCGATGATGAAGTCACGCTCGCACCAGTGGAACTTCAACCCGTCGAAGCGAAACCCATGGAAGGCGTTGAGAACGACGCACCGGATGTAGAGATGGAGAGCATGCAACCTATACAGGACGCTATACCGCCGCTGCTGATGCCACAAGAACGGTCAGCTCCCACTGGATTTGAGTTGGAACCGTACCGTGGACCACCGACTATCTTCGAGGACGATCAAGTGGTGTTCCATACCCCTAGAGACCGTTTTAGAAGTTCCCGGGAACCAGTCTTCCTTCTTGAAGAGGGAACGGACGCAGAGGAAGAACGGAAGTCGGAAGGAAGAGATGGACCGTCCTATCCGAAGCGTGCCAGGATCGATGAAGACGGCCTTATTGCTGAAGCCGTCCTCGCGTACGCAGCAAGCATTGACACAGTGGATCTTCCTACAACATACGCTCAGGCAATTGCCAGTGAAGATTCAACACAGTGGCGTGAAGCCATGGATGCTGAACTGCTCTCTCATAAACGGAACAATACCTGTTGCGGTAGCGTATGTGGACACCAAACATCAATTAGCCGACATACTGACCAAGGCGCTAGGATCCAAGACGTTCAAGTTCCTGCGCGATGCAAACAGTATCCAGTGCAAAGAAACCAAGCAGTAGCGGCGAGTGGGAGTGTTGAGAATACGCCGCTTCGTGCAGTCGTTTCATGTTGGGTTCATGGTGATGATTTCAGTGTCAGGGTGTTTCATGGTGGTTATTACGGAAGAAGGTTATGGATCGCGGTTACATGATGAGATCACAGGATGTCGTTACATTAAGGCTTAGACTTAGCTAAGGGTAGTGAACTAAGGACCTTAAATGTATTCACTTCGGCTTTTACATCCAACTACCCCAACACATATGAAGCAAAACACGTTGAGATTGTAAGCTCCGGTCACCCTGCTACATATGCCGCATTGCAAGGATACGTACTTTACAGCGAGTGCGTGTGTTATTACAGTGTGCTAGGTTTCCGTCCGTTATGAAAGCACGAGCACCTCCACTGTGCAGTTGATCTGTGGATGTACGTATGAGATTACACAACAAACGCACGGCACAACAGAGAAAACCATCTTCATTACATTGGGTGTACGACCAACAGATGCAGTGTTTGTAGTGCACATGGTGGCACTTGTGCCTTTCCACTCGGAGCAACCTCTCGATCGTGCACTGTAGACAACACCTGCTTCGTGTCCCTCCAGGTCGCAGATGAAAATTCTTCCACGGCGCACGGGGTTCTAACTGTTTGCAGATCGTTTCGGACAAGCCCGTGGTTCGACACACCAAAACATAGCATACGACCTTAGACATTGATGCGCTAAAGCCAATACTGCCAAGTCCGATGCTACTATAGCGAGCGTCAATTCATCCACGGTGTCATTAGCTAGCATCTGGTAATGCTATAGAAGGTGTCATTAGCTAGCATCTGGTAAAAGCTATACAAGCTGCTACCGATGTGTGTGGTCATCTGTGCTTGCCGACCCTATCGACTCCTTGTAGAATCTCTCCGAGGTATTCATATATCAGCTGTAGGTTGCGCGTCTGTCATGAGCTGGTCATTGCAAGTGTACACGACGACAAGACCTAAATGGTGGTGGTGGCTCTACATTCTTGGCATCGCTTGACTGTTCGATGAACGCTCTAGCTGGACCCGGAAGCTCTGGCAGCGTTCACCGAAAATCAACCGCACACTCATCACTCATTACTCAATCCACGCTCTTCGCAGCAAACGACCGACCGACCGACCGCGAACGTCCTTTGCAACTGAGCAATACTTTACTGCAAACCATGGTCAATACCATCTCATTCGCCGCGCTTGTGTTTGCCACGACTGCCGCCGTGACTTCGGGAGCTTCCATGCGAGCCGAGGCAGCTCCAATGCCGGATGGCTCATGGCCCACTAGTCAGGGCAATGAATACCTCTCAGCGCCCTATACTGTCAAGAGAGGCGAGGTCTTCGATGGAAAGATGAAGACGTTCCAGCGGTCAAACGTCAAGTGCCGTGGACAGGCGGAGAGTGGATGGCAAACTGCCGTGTTCGTTATCCAGGCCGGCGGTACACTCAAGAACGTGATCATCGGTACGGATCAAATGGAGGGGGTGCACTGCGAGCATGGTGATTGCCTTGTCCAGAACGTGTGGTGGAATGACGTGTGCGAGGATGCGCTGAGCATCAAGGGCGGCTCTGCAAGCAGCATGACAAGAGTGGTTGGTGGCGGTGCACGCTCGGCCGCTGACAAAGTGGTGCAGCACAACGGATACGGATCCGTGTCCATTGAGGGCTTCTACGTGCAGGACTTTGGAAAGCTCTTCCGCTCATGCGGGACGTGTGGCGACAAGGGTGTCAGCATCAGCATCAAGAACGTATTTGCCGTCAATGGTCGCGTGAGTATCCTGACAAAGAACAAGAGCGACCGTGCCACAATTGAGAACATCAAGATCAAGGGCAAGAAGGTCGACGTGTGTTCTTGGTCGGATGGAACGGGGGCTGGAGGTGAGCCGAGAAAGTCTGGTGTGGGCCCGTCGGGAAGTGGCTGCAGCTACTCACCTAATACCATCACCTATGTGTGATAGAATGTGCTAGTATGGGGTGTGTATGTCGTAAGCGTTGTTGTGGTGGTTGCTGTAGTGCTGTTGTAGTGTCGTTGTAGTTTTGCATCATATTGAATAAAGATCTGACGGATAATCCGTATGCTCGATAAGTTCTTTTTGTCTGCTGTGTCAATGTTTGAACGCGAAGTCGGCACGTCTTCGTGAACGAGTGCGGCAGCGCTCTTCATGTCAAGCGGTCATTTCAAGGCTTTTTGACCATGTTTCTTGCAAAGGGAGGATACAATAGAATGGCTCGGACGATATCAATCCTAAGGACTGGCTCGTGCTCTTCAAATTTTCGGATCGAGCACCTTCGACAGCTTACGCGTGGCTACTACACATCATACCATGCATGAGTACCCTCAGTTTCGATTGCTTTTGTTTAAGAGTAAGCCTGTCCCTACAGAGTAAATATCGTGATGAGCGAACGTCCAAGTCGATTTTACATTCCAAAGTCCAGGATAATGGTGTGAAAACAAAGAGGTTGCTCGGTACAGGCGTAATTCGGTGCAGTACTGAGCCATGGGGGAGTACAAGACCAAATGCTGTAAGCAGCGCGTGTAAATCAGGCAGTTCTCATGTGCTCATCGGATTCCTTACCTTCACGCAAGCACACCTATTTTCTAATTCTACAAATGTGGTGCGTGGACCAAGGACATTTATTTGCTTCACAATGTCGTGGCGACGCTGTCGGTATTTGCAGGAAAGGATCCAGCGTGTGCACGTATGCTTAAATCGCTGGTAGCCAGAATGAACCGTAACGGCGCCTGAATACCGACAACAAGTACTACCTCCTGTGCAGATTGCACTTGCTGATCACGATAAATCGTCGTTGCCCAAACGATGGTCGACCTAAGATCACGTTTGTGTACTGCATTCTACGGCCGTTCGTGCATCACGTGACGTTCAACTGGTTCACGTGCACGGTACGCGGCCTACAACTCTACATCCAAGCCGGCTGCTATGTCCGCTGTTCGCGTCCCCCGCTCGGTTCGAAAGAAGCTTAAAGAACTTATTCAAAGTTATTTGAGAACGGCTGCAATGACCTCGAGCTACATATGAAGCAAAACACGTTGAGATTGTAAGCTCCGGTCACCCTGCTACATATGCCGCATTGCAAGGATACGTACTTTACAGCGAGTGCGTGTGTTATTACAGTGTGCTAGGTTTCCGTCCGTTATGAAAGCACGAGCACCTCCACTGTGCAGTTGATCTGTGGATGTACGTATGAGATTACACAACAAACGCACGGCACAACAGAGAAAACCATCTTCATTACATTGGGTGTACGACCAACAGATGCAGTGTTTGTAGTGCACATGGTGACACTTGCGCTTTTCCACTCGGAGCAACCTCTCGATCGTGCACTGTAGACAACACCTGCTTCGTGTCCCTCCAGGTCGCAGATGAAAATTCTTCCACGGCGCACGGGGTTCTAACTGTTTGCAGATCGTTTCGGACAAGCCCGTGGTTCGACACACCAAAACATAGCATACGACCTTAGACATTGATGCGCTAAAGCCAATACTGCCAAGTCCGATGCTACTATAGCGAGCGTCAATTCATCCACGGTGTCATTAGCTAGCATCTGGTAATGCTATAGAAGGTGTCATTAGCTAGCATCTGGTAAAAGCTATACAAGCTGCTACCGATGTGTGTGGTCATCTCTGTGCTTGCCGACCCTATCGACTCCTTGTAGAATCTCTCCGAGGTATTCATATATCAGCTGTAGGTTGCGCGTCTGTCATGAGCTGGTCATTGCAAGTGTACACGACGGCAAGACCTAAATGGTGGTGGTGGCTCTACATTCTTGGCATCGCTTGACTGTTCGATGAACGCTCTAGCTGGACCCGGAAGCTCTGGCAGCGTTCACCGAAAATCAACCGCACACTCATCACTCATTACTCAATCCACGCTCTTCGCAGCAAACGACCGACCGACCGACCGCGAACGTCCTTTGCAACTGAGCAATACTTTACTGCAAACCATGGTCAATACCATCTCATTCGCCGCGCTTGTGTTTGCCACGACTGCCGCCGTGACTTCGGGAGCTTCCATGCGAGCCGAGGCAGCTCCAATGCCGGATGGCTCATGGCCCACTAGTCAGGGCAATGAATACCTCTCAGCGCCCTACACGGTCAAGAGAGGCGAGGTCTTCGATGGAAAGATGAAGACGTTCCAGCGGTCAAACGTCAAGTGCCGTGGACAGGCGGAGAGTGGATGGCAAACTGCCGTGTTCGTTATCCAGGCCGGCGGTACACTCAAGAACGTGATCATCGGTACGGATCAAATGGAGGGGGTGCACTGCGAGCATGGTGATTGCCTTGTCCAGAACGTGTGGTGGAATGACGTGTGCGAGGACGCGCTGAGCATCAAAGGCGGCTCTGCAAGCAGCATGACAAGAGTGGTTGGTGGCGGTGCACGCTCGGCCGCTGACAAAGTGGTGCAGCACAACGGATACGGATCCGTGTCCATTGAGGGCTTCTACGTGCAGGACTTTGGAAAGCTCTTCCGCTCATGCGGGACGTGTGGCGACAAGGGTGTCAGCATCAGCATCAAGAACGTATTTGCCGTCAATGGTCGCGTGAGTATCCTGACAAAGAACAAGAGTGACCGTGCCACAATTGAGAACATCAAGATCAAGGGCAAGAAGTTGGACGTGTGTTCTTGGTCGGATGGAACGGGGGCTGGAGGTGAGCCGAGAAAGTCTGGTGTGGGCCCGTCGGGAAGTGGCTGCAGCTACTCACCTAATACCATCACCTATGTGTGATAGAATGTGCTAGTATGGGGTGTGTATGTCGTAAGCGTTGTTGTGGTGGTTGCTGTAGTGCTGTTGTAGTGTCGTTGTAGTTTTGCATCATATTGAATAAAGATCTGACGGATAATCCGTATGCTCGATAAGTTCTTTTTGTCTGCTGTGTCAATGTTTGAACGCGAAGTCGGCACGTCTTCGTGAACGAGTGTGACAATGCTTTTAATGGATGCAGCCATGTCAAAGAATTCGGATAGTGCAAATGAAGGATGGAAGTCAATGGCTTGTTTAGTCAACCCCTCTTTTTTTATCCCGTTTGTCCACCCCCAATTTGGATGTTCACAAAGGAAAATGTTGTATTAAGTGATGTGTCAAGTAGTTGGAGGCAAAAGCCGAAGTAAATATATTTAAGGTCCTTAGTTCACTACCATGAACTATCTTGAAGCCTTTATGTAACGCTGTTCCATGGCAATCCTCTGAAACTACCATAAAACTCCCTGATGATTTATCATATAAATCGTCACCCTAACAACATGAAACGTATCTGTTCAGCGGTGTAATATTAACATGATGTTATACAGTCAGCTCCCTCTAACGTCTTTGTTTTTCCACCCTCATTCTGGATCTTATAGAGGACAAATGTTATATCAAGGGATGTTATGGAAGGAGCTAACCGTACAGTAAATCGATGTAACGGACTGGCTCGTATAGTAACTTCATCAGCAGCTTTAACAGCTTACGCGTGGATATTACATCTAATGTCGTACATGAGCCACTTCAGTTTCGATAGCTACTGGCTAAAAAGCAAGATGACTCTACAGAGTTAACATCGTGATTAGCGGCAGCCCAGGTCCGTTTTCGTTTCAAAGTCCAGGACGATGGTATGAAAATGAAGAGGTCGATCGCTGCGGTCGTAATTCACTGCAGTGCACTCGAGAGCCATTAGGAGGAACGAGCTCAAATGCTGAGTCGCGCGTGGAAACCAAGCAGACCCCGTGCGTTCACCTGATTCCTTTCCCCCAGGCAAGCATTTTTATTCTCTCAATCTACACGTCGAATAAGCGGGCAAGCTAGACAAATGCTCCACGATATTGTGGCGACGCTGTCAAGATATGCCAGAAGTAATCTAGCGTGTGCTCTGTGCTGGTAAACGCTGGTAAGCTGAGGAAAGGAAGCTCAAGCTCCAAATTGATCAAACGGCACCAAGATACTAACTACAAGTACCGTCTTCTATATAGATTGCACTCTTTATCACAAGCAAGTCATCGAAGCCCTAAAGCTGATCGATTAAAGACCACATTGTGAACTGCATACTACTACTGTGTACGCAAACGTGGCTTCCAACTGACTCACGTGCATAACTACGCGGCCTCTACGCATCTAATGCAGGCCTCCGAAAAATCGGTGAACGCCGAATCTTCCAAGATTAAGCTAATTTCAGTACGCTGCCTGGTCCTAAATTTGGCATCGACCGAAGTTCACCAAATGCGCATCCTTGTAGTAATAGGACATGACGTAATAAAACATGAGCTCGGCGGGTCCAATGCATTGACAAACCCGGCCCGTGGCTTGCAGAGGGGCTCGAGTCTAATGTAGTGAAATGGAGAATGAATATATTGAGGAGGAGTGTTAAACTTGGTAGGCTAGTCTGGTGTCATCATATCCAGTCTGGCGCAATCTTCTTTCGTCTGGCGCAATCTTCTTTCGTCTGGCGCAATCCAAGGATGGTCTCGCAGGTCATATCGATAGACAACCCATGTCATACTCCCCCCATGATCTGTGAGATTTAGCACGGAAAAATGCGGCGGATGCTCACACGTTCTGCCATTGCTCCCTTGTCGATGGTCACAGTGCCGTTGCTGTGAACTTGGCGGATAACAAAAGGTCCGGTTGCCACTGCGTGCAATTTTGCACGGAACTTCTTGGGGACGCGTAACATCACATGGTCTCCCGTATTGTAGAAATGCTCGAGGCGTTTGCTATTCTCGCGGTCATTGTCGGCGAGAATTGCATCAAAACGACGCTTCGATAGATAGCTCCAGTTGGCGTTATAAAGCTGACGAGTGATCATATCTTGACCGAAGAGTAGTTGACCTGGGGAAGCATTAAGAATGCTGTGGTAGCTTGCTCGCACGGCGAATGCAGCGTAGTGAATGGTTTTCTTCCAGTCAGTGCCATCGTGGCACCTGATGACATTTAAAATCTCGAGGTGAACGCGTTCACAAATAGCGTTAGCTTGAGGGTTCTTGCTTGTTATAGGCTTGGCTTGTATCCCGTAGCTGCGGAGCAATTCTTGAAACTCATCACCAGTGAATTCCGTTCCTAGGTCGTGTATAACCGTTACAGGACGCGGGTAGCGGCACAGCCATTCACGATCGAAGCTTTCGGCTGTGGTCAGCGAAGTTTTGTCGTGCTGAATACCCACTTCCAGCCAACGCGTCGCATGGTCAATCATGGTAATACCGTAGTGTCCGTCTTCGTAGGGACCAATGAGATCGACATGAACGGTGTCAAAGGGGTTCACCGTCTTGAGTGTTCGTGGTGGTAGTAATCCATAGTCCTGCTTGCCTCCGTGGACCTTTGCCTTCTTGCAAATTAGACAATCTTTCGCATTCTTGATGATCGCGGCTTCCATTCCGGGCCAGTAGAGAACCTGCCTCATTGTCTTGTACTGTCGTTCACCGCCAGGGTGACTGAGCGTTAAATGATACCAACGAATGAGATCTTCTCGCAAGCTATCGGGCACGATGACGCGCTTTTGGTACGCGACCAGCGTGCAGCCGAGTAGAGGTAGAAGCTGATAGTCAGGATTGTTGTTGCCGTTGAGGCAAGCTGTCTTGATTTTTTGAATCATCAAGTCCTTATCTTGATGTTCGCGAAGAACCGGACCATGCATGACACAATCTGGTTCATCAGCGGTAGCGCATATCTCGTCCGCGAGCTGCAAATGAGTCTTCGTGTTCATCGCATCGAATCTCATCCGGGAAAACGCATCAGCACCAACATTCTTGGTTCCCTTGATGTAATGCATCGATAGCCTGTACTCAGCCAACAGGAGCTTCCAGCGCTTAACGCGCAGGCTGGTTTCGGTCGGATAAATTAGGTTCTTATGGTCGGTGTGAACAACCACAGGGAACCCGAGCAGCATGGTGCGGTATTCGCGCAGCATTTCAACGATAGAGAGGAGCTCAAGCTCCATCGTTGTGTAATTCACTTGATGCTTGTTGAGACTTCGGGAATAGCAGGCGAGAATCTGGTTCTTCTGCATAATGATGCCACCGATTTGCTTTCCGCTGGCATCGGCGTAGACGTGAAATGGTTGCTCAAAGTCAGGAAACGCGAGCAGTACGGCTTGGGCAAACGCTTTCTGGATAGCGTGAAATGCTTCCGTGTCGCTAGACAACCAGTCGAACGGGACTTTGGAGCTGGTGAATCGGTTGAGAGGTTGGCACAATGCCGTCTTGTTGGGTACCATATCTCTATAGTAATTAATCATTCCGAGGAAGCGGCGTAGTTCCTTCCTGGTTTTGGGGACGGAAATTTGTTGGATGGCTTGAATCTTCTTTTGTTGGGGCTGGATCCCTTGAGATGTCAGCGTAAAGCCGAGATAGTCGACGGACTGTCTGAGGATGTGGCACTTCTTTCCGTTGAGAGTTACCCCATACTTGGTTAGTCGCTTGAACACAATGTGTAGGTGCTCTAGGTGCGTCTCTTCACTATCGGAGTAGACGAGTATATCATCCAAATAGACTACGACAAAAGCCAGATCGCCAAAAATCTTCTCCATGCAGGCTTGGTATTCGTCCGGTGCTGTAGAAATGCCCATTGGGAGTCGTTTGTATTGATACTTCCCGAACGGAAGACAGAAAGCTGTGTGACCACGGCTTGAGGCAGCAAGGCGACGCGCGTAATACCCCATATTAGCATCGAATGTTGACAGATACTTGGCTCCTGCGAGACGCAACAGGATCTCGCGTATACGTGGGACGTAATAAGGGCTGCGTTTCAGATATCGGTTGAGTCCGCGAAAATCTATCAGTAGACGAAGTGATCCGTTGGGCTTCTTGAGAAAAAAAAGCAGGCGATGCCATTTCTGAATCAAAAATCTGCTCCAGCACGTCGATGCTGACCAAATGCTGGATGAGCTCTCGAGCCTTGTTTTCGAGGCTTCTTGGGACTGGATAAGGTTTTGCGTGTACAGGCTTGTACTCCGGCACTATTGGTAGAGCGTAGTCTTCGAATCTCATCCTCCCCAAGTGACCGTCATAGAGATGCTCGTTATCGCGAAGAAGCTGGAGATATTTGCCGACGAGTGGCTTGGATAGCCTGTCTGGCATGAGGTCTTCTGGTCGCACTGCAGTGTTATCGACTTCTTTGCTCTCTTCGGGGAATTCATAATCACTTGCGTTGGGAGACGATGACCCGCCGGTGTTTAAATGTGTATCGTGACCATCCCACTGAACCAGTTTGTCTTTAAAATTGAGCACGATTCCTAGTTCATTCAGGATATCACGACCGATCACCATGGCATCCTGGCTCTGATCCAGAATTTCGAACTTGTGCGTGATTATGGTCGAAGGCTGGAGAGACGGAAAGCGGAACTGTACAATCGTACTACCAGCACTAGCGACTTCTCCGTTGACCGTCTGAAACTTTGTCGCCGACTCGACTTGTCTATGCCCAAGCTGAGCATTGGCTCGCATAGTTTCTTGGTTGATTATGCTCCGCGAAGCACCACTGTCTAGCAGGGCATTGAAGGTGCCACTCGCGTCTTTGAATTGTACCGGGATCCGGAGTGGGGCGAGCTTGGCGCTCGGTTGCTTCTTCTTGACAAGGCCGACAAGCTTAAGCTCGCTGTCGCTGTCACTGTCGCTTGCCTCTTCCTCTTCGAATCTTGGGTAATTACTCTTTTTGTGAGCAGTTCGTTTCGTCTCGGCAGGCTTGTGCTCTTCGCGTTGCTTCTTGAGGGCAAAGCATTCGCTGGAATCGTGCGAGCTTGATTTGTGGAATGAACACCACTTGCCGTGTTCTTGGTGACGGTCATGCTTCTTCTTGCCGCCTTGTACACCAGGTCGGTCTCGATGATCTTGACGCGTGTCGCGATGCTCGCGAGGGTTGCGCCGATCTCTGCGCTGGTCAGCGGTAGGGCGTTGTTGGTCGCGTCGACCTTGACCCTTTTCACCACCCTGGGTAGCTGGACCATTTAGGCGATCCCGGCCAGTCTGCCTCTCGCGCCTTTCGAGGCGCTCGAAATACATCGCCAGTTCGTTCACCGTCTCATACGAAATTCCGCAGCACGCGAGCTTGTCCTGCCAGTGCGGCGGCATGGCGCGGCGAAAATATCGACATTGTTGAAGCTCTGAGATGGTTTGCGAATCCTGATGCAAATCGGCGTACATCTGTGCAAGCTGTCTTAGCCGTGCCGCGCAGCGTTGTACCGTCTCTTCTCTGCGCTTGGTGAGTGTCCATAGTTCTTCGTCCAGGTCTTCACAGTAATCCGCTGGGACCAGAAGAAGTCCAACCTCCCGGTAAAAGTCTTCAAATGTCAGGCCTTTGCTGGAAGCATCGCTGGCAATGCGCTCTACTTCGCGCAACAGATCACCGTCAATCAGCGTAAGAAGTTGAACGGATAGTTGGTCAGCTCTCCAGCCTTTTCGTTTCGCGAGGCTTCGAAACTGCATGCTCCATGTGAGCCAGTCCTTCGATGAACCACCGCGAAAGCGCTTTATCTTCATTGTGGCGACGTCAGCTGGTGAAGTCGCACTTTCTTGGCACGTCACGATGGTGTAAGTGACGTATTCATCCTCATTCCGTCCCATGATGATGGCGACGGGATTCTCGTACGGGATGAGATGTGACTAAGTTAGCCAAATTTGATATATCAAAATGACAAACCCGGCCCGTGGCTTGCAGAGGGGCTCGAGTCTAATGTAGTGAAATGGAGAATGAATATATTGAGGAGGAGTGTTAAACTTGGTAGGCTAGTCTGGTGTCATCATATCCAGTCTGGCGCAATCTTCTTTCGTCTGGCGCAATCCAAGGATGGTCTCGCAGGTCATATCGATAGACAACCCATGTCAGCATCAACCAGAAACGCAATTCTTCTACCTCAGACGCGTCAGCAGGTCAAACTGTTTTGCCTGGAGAAACCCTTCCAATGCCAGACAAGTCAAATCCGTGCGCCGATCATCCTTCTCCCACTTCAATATGGAAAATTCGACTCCACCGACGTTGGGTTGGCGAACACGGTGGCTAGTCCGCAGCTGGAATTTAGCAGACAACGGAACGAACTTTCAGATATGCATCCCTGGACGCCATCCCAGCCAATGTTAAGTATCGTCTCGTGATCATATCGGCTAATCCTGGTCTTGACGCGTTCGTTGACAATTTACTCTCGGCACAGTAGTGAGCGGTGATCGCTACCGATCTCCTCGACCTGCGCCGCCAACCAGAACATCACTACATTGGGTCGGCGTTGGTCGAGTACCTCAGCTACAAATATACGCGATGGCATCTTGAAAAGCTCGGCCGGCATGCCCGCAGGAGCAAGCGAAGCGGCAACCGGGGTTCTTGCAATCACGTTCATCCTGAACATCGCACAAACCCATGAGAAGTCAATTCTTTTAGAGCTTAAATTTTCATGCATTTTAAGGTATGAGCCTAGTGGTAAGTCCTCTGGTTTTGGCCAGGACTTCCCCTACTCACGGCAAAGATTCGAGTTCAATTCTTGCTGAGAATTTAAAAAACAATTTAATTTGTTTTTTAACAAATAACCTCAACTTATAGCAATATTTAATTTGAAATATCAAATTAAGACAATTTAGTACCTTTTATTTGGCTTCTGGAAGATCTTTAAAATAAAAACAAATATTAAGTAGAAACAGGATTTTATAATCAACAATTTGATTTACCCGAAGCTAAAGCTGAATTAGTTTAGGCGTATCATGTTTATATCTGCAGTGGTTTTTAGATGAACTGGAATTAAACATTCAAAATACAAAGATGAGCAAAGTTTACATTTAAATTTACTTGGAGCTGAAGAGGAAAATAATTTCTGCCCATCAAATTGCATATTCTGCAATGGGTTTTGCCTAATTTTTTATAGATGAGAATGCTTATACTAAAAATAAACCATTTATCTAAAATGGACGTTACGGCAATCAAACATTATACATTATGAAACCATTTCCTTGAGAATTCTGATGAAATCGTATCTTTCACTAATTGCGTGAATTTTTTGATACCTGGCAAATCTTTTACAATGCCACCTCGTACTATACTATCGAATGTTTAAAAATTATGACCAACTTTTAGGCAAATGCGTAAATTTGGTAGATCAACTAGGAAAATATACTTTGGCAACTATACGTATAGCTAAATTTAGTTCTTGGCGTTGTTTAATAACTATAACATTAAAAATTTTGTGTGGTGAACGATGTTTATAAAACTGCACACCAATTTCTTTTTGTTAATATTGTGGCTCTTTTTTTGAAAAAAATGATTAAAGGTTGTTGACATTTTTTTACTAAGTAAAGTTTAAATAGAATAATACTGGACTCAAACCGCAAATTTTTGGTGTCCACGAAACACTATGCCAATTAAGCAGATTAAATCACTAATTCACAGACACTTTTAAGCAAAATTTTTAGCAAAAGATTTTGAAGGAGCAAAAGGTCGAAATCATTAAGTAAAGTTACTGCCAGATCTCACGGTGGTGGTCGGCTTAGATGCTATATTGTTTTTATTAATCATTAAATAAAAGGATGTGTCGTTTAATTTATTACAGTGCTGAAGCAGAATTCGCTCATTTTGCAAGCGATCATAAATCTCCCCTGGCACCCAGACGACCAAATAACGGACGAGGAACTGCGGACCTTGTGTTTGGTCTTGTTTTTTCTCACCTTGTGTACCCGTTGGCTGGCGGTTGCACTATTTTAGATGGCTAGAGGTCGATGTCTGTCTTGACCAAGTTAATGATAGGTGGGGTGTGGTCGCATGGGCGTTCTTCACACGACCAACGGTAACTTGTATCGCTCTCCAGAGTCCCTAAAACCTTTCTTGAGCTCTCCTTGTCTAAACCTGAATAATTTGCTCCCCTTGTTCATCTGACCACTTGGTCGCCTTGGTTTTTCTGACTGTTTTAGTGGCCTAAAGACCTAGTCTTTATATGCTTGTCGCGTCTGATCTCGGGCTGACTAAAATGAGTATATTTGTCCCATTCCAAGCAATATAGGGACAAACCTTGAACAAGCACGTGAGCATTAAACCTATAACGTCGGGTGGCCTCTAGCATTTTAGCCGGAAGGGATGCTGATACGTGTATTTTGTAGAAAATTCCAACACTGTTTGTTGCTAACCTTTTCGCATCAAAAACTACGCTGCTCCCTGTCTGTATCGCAATTATTATTTCTGCGCTGTCTCCCGCCATCCATTCCTTGTGCGTATGATGATCCACCCCAACTACCAGCATGACCACTGGTCGTCTACAGTGACCGTGAACGCTAGTCTTCCACAGTAACCATGTCTGCTGGTCGTACAAAGTGACCATGACCACTGGTCATTCACAGTGCCCGTGACAGCTGGTCGTCCACAGTGACTGCGACTGCTGGTCTACCATAGCAGCCATACCACTGGTCGCCGTCTGTGGCCGCGACTACTCCGCTTTCCACGGTACCATTAGCGATATCAGGCGTTCGGTATCAAGGCCGGCGCGATTGGTCCTACATGTACCCGCGCTGTGAAATGATGCGATTGGTCAGGATTTTTCTCGATCACTTCACCACGATTTGATACCATATTGTTCTGTAAGCATTGCCTACATCTAAA